ATCAACTTCTTCAGTTACTTTGACTTCACCTTGGTGGCACCTAATTAGTTCAACCTCTCTTTTAACAGTTACCGGAACAGCCTTTGTTATTCCCAAACGTCATTTTATCAAACTTCCTTGGGAGAAGATAGTCCAATCCTAATATGCATTCGTCTTCAATGTCAGCCAAGTATACTTCCTGTCTGTCCTTTATACCCATGAGCTCAATAGTTACCCACACTGGTCCCCACAATCTTGTAGAATGTCCTGTCACACCATAAAGCTTCTGTGTGGCTTCTGGTACTCCTTCGTGATCTAACACCTTGATGCTCACAAGGGTTTGCTGAGATGCAGAGTCTATGACAAAGTTGCACCTTTGGCCATCTAGCTTTCCTGTCACATAGACACTGTGTGTGTTTGGCATTTTACACCTAGCTGGTTGGGACTTTCATGATGGGGGTTGGTGAGTGTCCCTCAACACCAACCACTAGTGGTCTCCTTGAGGCTGACTTGTTGGTAATATTCTTCTTACACTGGCTCTTCATATGTCCTTGTATTCCACAGTTCCAACAGCCTTTCTGGGTAGCAGCCTTACCTACTGTGGCATCTCCCCTGTGTTGAAGTTGCCAGCATTGGGTTCTCTTGTGCCCAGGTTTATTGCAGTGCTAGCAAAGTCCCTCAAACCTCTCTGAAAGCTGACCTTTTCTGGCCTTGAATACAGATGACTGTACCAACCTCGGTACCTCTGTACTGGACTTAACGTAGGATTCAAATTCAAGAGCTCTGGCCATTGCATCCTGCATGGTAGAGGGTTGTGCTTGCTTAACTTGTATTTTAAGTTGTGGATTGTCCACGGCATCTATGAACTAATCCCTCAGCAACAACTTGAGGAGATCGGGTTGTGCAGTTGGGTAGGCCTTGTGTGTCATGCTTTCCAAGTCCTGTGCCAGCTCTTGCAGGCTCTCCCCTTCAGCACGGATTCTCGTCCTAAACCTAGCCCTGTAGACTTCCGACTGATTTTGGGTTCCGTACCTGAGTTCTAGAGCTACTACCAGTGCTCTATAGTTATGCCTGTCGTCTGCTGACAACTGTCCAAGTATTTCTAGTGGTTGTCCTTTCAAGCTCGTTGCCAGATATAATGCTTTCTGCTCCTCAGACGTGACTTTCCGGATAAAATGTGGTCGGCAAGGTAAGCCAAAAGTGGTGCATGCCAACAGGCTTTGGCGTTATCACGGTCCAGGACATTTCAGTTGGGACGGAGTGAACAACAGAACAAATGACGCTGCTGAAAACGTGTCACCTGAAAAAACCACTGTCGAAGAAGAAACTCTACTCAGTTTTGAGAAGGAAACGGTGAAGCTCTTGATGAAGTTACTACCACTGATGTGACTGTTACCAACGACAGGACATTTCCTGATGAAGCAGATGAACCCCATATGAAGCAGAAGCCAACGCGACGGACACCAGTACGGAAGAAGATACGTCCCGAAAAATTAAGAGACTTTGTTGAATTGTAATTTTGTGTTTGTAAATTCTGTACATTTAATTAAGTTATTGTTAATTGTTTATTGGTTTAATGTAAGTGGCTATTGTTCGGGACAAACAATACTAAGGAAGGGGCAGTGTTACGACAGCGGAAGTCACGTGAAGCTAGTAACACGTCATGAACTTCTAGAAGGATCCTGTCCCTTCCTGAATGCTCTAGCATCTACTAGATATGTGGTAGTCTTGTATATATATAAACCGGTAAGAACTGACGTAAACAAGGTAATGTGTAATTGAACTGCGGACAGAGAGACGTATTGTTGAGTCGAGCACGTGAGACGTTCGTTGTGAATTATAGCGTTTGTTAGAGGAATATACATTATCAGTTACTTCCTTTTTACTCTGAATTATTATTTGGACATCATATAGTTAGCCCCTCTTTCTTGCTTACGCCATTTGTAATCCATCGGTCAATAATTATAGTAGTGTTTCCATCTTATTTACGTTGTAAGTAGCATTGTCTCCATTTTATTCACGTCTAATCTGTACTAATGCATTAGCTGAATGTATATGACTGATTATTGTTTGATTCCATTACTCACCTTTTCGTATGTATATGTTTCAGATCTCCATCATTCTAGATGTCATAGTTCATGAATAAAGGATATCAAGAAACAGTAGTCCATACTCATTTATGATGGAGATAATATAGGCCTAATGGTGGTGGTAAAACTTACAATATAGGCCTAACGGTGGTGGTGAAGCTTACAATATAGGCCTAACGGTGGTGGTGAAGCTTACACAAAGATGCCGAAAGTTAAGTGCCCGATACCGGCATGTGAATTCGAAACTGCCGACCTAGATGAGGCTATAGTGGCTGCTTTGATTACGACACACGCAAAAGTGCATGATGCTCCTGTGACGCCAGCTAAAGCAGAAAAAGTGAAACGGCCATCAGTGACATCCGCTGGCACAAGTGAGGAATGGTCGTACTTCCTATCGAGATGGAAGGATTATGTGGAAGCTACCAAAATTAAAGACAAGGAGCTAATTATTCAACTTCTCGAATGCTGCGATGACACACTTCGTAGGGACCTAACAAGGGTAGCCGGTGGATCACTTACCAACGAGACCGAGGACAATGTTCTGAAAGCAATAAGACAGCTTGCAGTTCGAGAGGAAAATACCATGGTCGTGCGAGTAACACTTAACAATATGTCTCAAGACCGCGATGAACCGGTACGTGCGTTTGGCGCTAGGCTTCGTGGTCAAGCTAGTGTATGTAAATTCATATTAAAATGTGGAAACTGCGATCATGACGTCAACTATACTGACGCTATTCTACGAGATGCACTTACCCGCGGTCTCTATGACCAAGAGATCCAACTTGACCTACTAGGCGCTGAGAATCAAAACATGACTTTGGAGGAAGTTTTCAAGGTTGTTGAGGACAAGGAATCTGGCAAACGCTCAGCCTCTAAGTTATTTGACTCTCAAGGTGCTGAAGCTGTAAGTTCATACCGCCGTGAAAAAAATTGCACACAACAACAACAAGCAAAGAGTCAAGAACATCCAAAGAAATTCAATCCACGTGAAGTGTGTTCTTATTGTGGCAAAAATGGACATGGTGTGCGGTCCCCACCCTTTATTCGTCAAAAGGAGTGTACAGCTTATGGACAAACATGTTAAAAATGCAAACGCCCTAACCATTTTTCGTCAATGTGTAGATCCTCAGCGAAGAAACAATCTACTGAACATGAGGGTGCTATCTTCGATTCATTGTGTTCAGCCACTGATTACAATTCATCATACAACCACAAAGTTCTGGTCCTAGACCACCACATGTATGATGACATCTCTGATAAATGGACAAAATGTGCATCAAAACCTCAACCTTACCTAAAAATCACTGCAGAATGTGTGCTTGACGACTACAAAACGTTTGGACGTGAATCAAGCTTCCCATCTAAACCTAAGACTACAACAGTGTCCGCCATGGCAGATACTGGCTGCCAAAGTTGCCTTGCAGGAATAAAAGTTGTGCATCACTTGGGTATGACTGAACGGAATCTTATACCAGTGACAATGAAAATGCATGCTGTAAACAACAGAGGCATAAGGATACTTGGTGCAGCAATCATCCGCTTCTCTGGTGAGTCGTCTAATGGAACCGTACTCCAGACTCGCCAAATCGTCTACATCACTGACAATTCTGACAAAATATTTCTCAGCAGAGAAGCATGCGCTGCATTGGGCATCATATCGGAGTCATTTCCAAAACTTGGCGAAACAGTTAACATTGCATGTTCGTCAATGGATGTCGGACACAATGCTGTCAAGGACTTGCCGTTATCAACAGACTGTGATACAACCAGTTGCATAAAACCAGATTCGATTCATACCAACTCTAATGCTTATTTGTGTGACTGTCCAGAACGAGAACCCCCACCTCCTGTGCCAACGAAGTTACCGTTTCCTGCAACAGAAGAACATGTAATGGACTTACAACAGTACCTCTTAAATAGGTACAAGTCAAGTACATTTAATACTTGTGAGCACCAGGCCTTACCAGTGATGACAGGACCACCTATGCAACTTATGGTGGACCCTGAAGCTAAGCCTGTAGCTTATCATACCCCTGTTCCAGTTCCACTCCATTGGCGGGAGGAAGTTAAAGCTGGACTTGATCAGGATGTGAGACTAGGTGTGATTGAACCTGTACCCATACGAGAACCAGTCATATGGTGCCACCACATGGTAGTTTGTGCCAAGAAAAATGGCACACCTAGACGCACGGTAGACTTTCAGGCCTTAAACGCCGATGCAGTCCGAGAAACATACCATACTCAGGCTCCATTCCACCAAGCACGATCACTCACCAGGGGATACAAAAAAGACAGTATTTGATGCCTGGAATGGGTATCACAGTGTACCTCTTCGTCAAGAAGACAAGCATCTTACCACATTTATAACACCGTGGGGTCGATACTGATACCTCACTGCCCCGCAGGGATATGTTGCTTCAGGCGATGGATACACTCAGCGCTTTGACGAGATTGTCAGTGACATCCCAAAGAAGACAAAATGTATTGATGACACTCTCCTATGGGCTGACAATATTGAAGAAAGCTTTTATCAAGCATGCAACTGGCTCGACATATGTGGACAAAATGGCATAACGCTTAATCCTGATAAGTTTGTATTCGCCCAGGACAATGTGGAATTTGCTGGTTTTGAAATAACATCAGATAGTGTTTGCCCATGTGCAAGATATATCCAAGCGATTCTTGAATTCCCAACACCCAAAAACATGACTGATGTACGATCATGGTTCGGTCTTATCAACCAAGTTTCTTACACGTTCAGTATGACAGACCGCATGTTACCATTCCGTCAGTTACTGAAACCGAGTACACCTTTTAAGTGGGACTCAACTCTCGATGACCTCTTTCAGGAGTCAAAAGCGGTGATCATCAACGAGATTGAAAATGGTGTGCGCATATTTGACCCCACTAAGCTGACTTGCTTAGCGACGGATTGGTCTAAAAATGGAATAGGGTTCTGGTTATTCCAAAAACACTGTGACTGTGCTCAAATTTTACCGTTTTGTTGTACTGATGGATGGAAAATAACTTTAGTTGGAAGCAGATTCACTAGTGCTACAGAATCGCGATATGCACCAGTCGAGGGCGAAGCATTAGCCGTAGCTGATGCTCTTGAGAAGGCTCGATATTTTGTACTTGGATGTGAAAACTTAGTGATAGCAGTGGATCATAAACTGCTGTTGAAACTATTTGGGGATAGGTCTCTAGAAGACATCCCTAATGCTCGACTCCCCAACCTGAAAGAAAAGACGCTTCGATACAAGTTCAAGATGCTACATGTACCAGGTGCCAAGAACCGAGCACCAGATGCCGTTTCACGTAACCCGACTGGAGATGCAGAACCAATGGTACTCATTGATGACATCTCATCAGTATCCCTGAACAATGAATCTTACCTGTACTTATCAGTTGCTTATTCAATTGAAAACTTGAAATGTGTACCATGGGACAAAGTGCGCACAGCTACCTCGAGCAACGAATCTATGCATCAACTAGTGGAGATTATAGAAACGGGTGTTCCCGCCGCTCGTACTGACTTCCCGTCTTCCCTACAAGGTTTCTTCCTGTTTAGAGACCATTTGTCCACAGTTGACAGTGTCGCTATCTACAAAGACCGACTGGTGATCCCACCTTCGATACAACAGGATATACTTACCTCCCTTCATTCCGCTCACCAAGGGGTAACATCAATGACATCTAGGGCTGAACAGTCTGTCTTCTGGCCAGAAATAACTGCTGACATCACGAGTATAAGGCATAATTGCTCACATTGTAATCGTATGGCACCTTCTCAGCCCAATCCTCCTCCAACACCACTTGTATACGCTCAATACCCGTTTCAATGTCTATCTGCTGACTTCTTTCATTACAAGGGTGTAAATTACCTTGTGATAGAGGACAGGTATTCAAACTGGCCCATCGTAGAAAGATCTACCAATGGTTCAACGGGTCTAATAGACAGTTTGCAAAAAACATTCATTACTTTTGGAATTCCAGATGAACTGGCCTCAGATGGGGGCCCAGAGTTCACTTCGACTGCAACACGAGATTTCTTGAAAACTTGGGGTGTACACCACAGACTCTCTTCCGTGGCATTCCCACACAGTAACTGTAGAGCAGAGGTTGGTGTCAAAACGATAAAGCACATGATCACTGACAACACTGGCCCGAAAGGCGAACTTAACACTGATGCCTTCCAGCGCGCCATTTTGCAGTATCGAAACACCCCTGATCGGGATACAAAACTTTCATCTGCTATGTGTGTACTCGGACGTGCTTTGAAAAACTTCATTCCCATCCTTCCGGGTCGTTACCTACCCCACGACACATGGCAAGACACTCTAGCTCTACGTGAGGCTGCCCTCAGAAATAGACATATAAAAATAGGGGAACGCCTTAGTGAACATACCCGACGTCTACCACCACTCAAAGTTGGTGACTTCGTCAGAATACAAAACCAGACTGGTTGTCACCCTCTAAAGTGGGATAAAACAGGTCAGGTCATTGAAGTCCATCAATTTGACCAATATGCCTTACGAACTGATGGTTCTGGACGAATAACACTATGCAACAGGAAATTCCTCCGTCGTTACACACCTGTGTACCAACCTCCAACACGACAAACCATTGCGACTGATTTACAGAGTCTATCAAAAACTCCTATGCCTCAGTCGACTCTCATACAGACACCGTCGAAACCTGGAATCACTTACGGTAATTTAGACACCGACATGAGTACCACTAGAAGGGACACTTCACCAATTCACCGTGGCGAACTTACTAGTAACACGCCCGTTGATTCCCCAGACACTATGTGTAATAACCCAGATCCTAAACCGGTCCCTTCTACTCCAGATACCATGCCCGCATTACCGACACCTCAGCCTGGATCAACACCTCAAGAACAACCCATCCAACCAACCACACTACCACCTACATTCACCACACCCACGACTCCGCGACGTTCCAAACGACCAAGTGTGAAACCAGGATGGTTACAGGATTATGTGCAGTTGATAACGGGGCAGAATAATCCCCCGGCTGGAGGGCAGTCTAACCTGTGAAGGCCGATCTATCATAAGTGTTCATTAAACTTTGTTGTGTTAATCTTGACATAAGTCACAATAAGTGATAACTTAGGTGCTTAATTTCTACCTAATTACAGTCGCAATGTTGATTTCATTTATATGTTGACTAATTAGTAAGTTGCAAGTAGCAATTAACCTTATTCTATGTTCGGATTACTGGTTACTAGTGAAAAGAACATCATAATCAATTACAGACTAACTGCATTCCGAAGGACTTGTATTCTACCAGCCATTGTTCACAGGGATTCACCAATGACTCAGGAGGGGATAGAGGAATATGCATTATCAATTACTTCCCTTTTACTGTGAATTATTATTTGGACATCATATAGTTAGCCCCCCTTTCTTTCTTACGCCATTTGTAATCCATTGGTCAATAATCATAGTAGTGTTTCCATCTTATTTACGCTTGTAAGTAGCATTGTCTCCATCTTATTCACGTCTAATCTGTACTAATGCATTAGCTGAATGTATGGTGAGTAATGGAATCAAACAATAATCAGTCATACGAAAAATGTATATGTTTCAGATCTCCATCATTCTAGATGTCATAGTTCATGAATAAAAGATATCAAGAAACAGTAGTCCATACTAATTTAGGGCCTTCATGATCATTCGAGAAATTCCAGCGCGCATGCTCTCAGCGTCACGCGACTTCCGCTGTTGTATCAGTGTCAGTTCTTTCCTTTACTTGAGCAGGCTCTTGCTGTCATGGACAGGTCGCTATAGATTCTGATAACTCATGAGTGAAAACAAAGGATAGTATGTTATAATGTGTTAACCACGCTACATCTGCCATATTTACCTTTATTTATTAGTTTTTATCGTTTATTATTTCAGTATATTGATTATTCTACATTGTTACCTTAGTATACAGAATTAGGATTAACCCAATTATCACAGGGTAGCCGAACCTCGTGAGATGTTAATGGTTTTACAGCCGATAATGTTGTTAATAGTAAGGTTACCTAACGGATAAAACAATACATTCTAATCGTTATAGCTAAGATTTCTGACCTATGAAATAGCTTATTTTCATGATAAGTTAATATTAATTAATAGCTTAGATCAATTTCTCAAACAAAAAATAAGCAGTAATACACTAATAATCTAAAAGTAGAATTAGATTATTCAGTTTTAATCACATTTGGACTAAACGTTCAGGTCAGAGAACTCTAGTGTTCAGGTTTATTGTCCCTCATTTTAAAATGACCAGCACTAGATGCCATAAAGGCTTTGAATCAAATAACGGGATTTACTGTCATTTTTATAACGTATATACAATTGAAAGTGTTGAGCATATTAATATGCAATACGCCCAGAACCTTGGACCCTTTAATACGCAGCCCGACACGGAAACCACTTGCTCACGCCCAGCTTTCCTTTAAGTGAATAATTTACCTACGATTAAATTAAAAAAACACAAGTATTTGTAGTGTTAGATACACTTACTATTTTTTAAACCAAAGAGTGCAGAAATAACACATCTGTTATCTTTACAATCCAGAAATTATTAACTGTACAGTTTAGGCTTCCAAAACTAACCTCTTCCCGGCATAGCCAAGCCAAAGAAACGAAATATGTAAGACATACTCTTCCCTTAATGATGCAGCAACCAATGTAAGAGACGCTGCAACCAAACAGACCAATGACGAAACAGACTGCCACATTACGCTTTATGGTGAAATACGCAAATATTTCGTTTTCTTGCGTTCTTTAAAACAATCGTGTAATTTAATCTTATTACAAAGAGAACTGTATTAAATATATTTTAACTGTTTCCTCCTCCATATTATTCAAAACATTATAAATTTTTTTTTATTATTATAATTTCAGGCGAAGCAAATAAATACAAAATCAACAATTGTTTATTTAATATTTGCTGACGTGTGCAAGCAATTCGCAAAGCTGGAGTGTGTACCACGTGGACAAAATGGCCGAGCACATACTTCATCCGGTAATTTTAAAAAAACTTGCTCGCCAGTGGCTGAACGAGGATACAAGCAGTTTCGACTTTGCTGGTGCTGCAGTGGGCGAACACGCTACGACAACAGAAATATTATGCAAGAGTGCAGGTATTATAGCAGGTATTCCATTTGCCAACGCAGTTTTTAAAGAATTAAACTGTAATGTTGAATGGTTTGTCAGCGAAGGTAGCTTTCTTGAAGGTTCCTCTAAAGTTGCGTCGGTGAGTGGAAAGTCACGTCACGTGCTTTTAGCGGAGCGTCCTGTGCTAAATTGCCTAGCTCGATGTAGTGGAATTGCTACTATTACCAACACCCAAAGGAAAATACTAGACAACAAAAAATGGAACGGCTTCTTAGCCTGTACACGTAAGACAACTCCAGGATTTCGATTGCCAGAAAAATATGCAGTCTTGATTGGTGGAGCATGTAACCATCGTTTCGACCTATCGCAAGAGATTATGTTGAAAGACAATCATATAAAAATTGCCGGGTCTGTTAAAGCGGTAAGTAAAATCACCCATAAACTAAAAAATTACTTAACAATGCTCAGATGAATCAAAATAACCCAATATGCTATACAAGTTTAAGTTGCAGTATGTGTACATTACGAAAACTTAAATTTATTGCACCGCGTACGGCATACTATTATTATTTTAATGTTTGGTAAACAATAACAAGTATCGTGCATGTGTCAATCATGTTCGAATTAATAAGTATTTGTTTTAATACTTTGTGAACTGTTAGATGTTAATTATATATGAAGCTCGTGATTTGTACTGAGTATTTGAATCATCAATTTTACAAGGCAGATATATTTATTATGCTTTCTACCATTTTTTATATAAGTTTATAATTATGCCATAACATAATAAAGTTTGGAGACGACTTGAATGGGTAATGAAGTAAACTATTACAAGTAACAAACGTACAATGTTTCGACAAGCTTTTGTCATCATCAGGCACCGTCTCCAAACTTGATCTGAAATGGGTTCCTCGTCATCAAATGTTGCTTTAACATGTATAAAAAATTAATGTGGTGAATTGTCAGGCTGTGGAGAGAGTACGGAAGTTAAGTGGATTTGTACTGAAGATAGAGGTAGAATGTGCAACTTTAGAAGAGGCGAGAGAGGCTGCTCAAGCCGGCTGTGATATTGTGATGCTGGACAACTGTAAGCCTCCAGTAAGTAACATAACGGATATTCATTATTCTAACCACAACAAATTAAATATAATTTACAGTTATATATGATCTTATGGTAAAAATTACTACAGTATCTCTTAGAAATATTACAGACTGCAAGGAACAGAATGAAGAAATCTACATTAAAATTAATAGTTAGCCATAACTTTGATCTTTAAAAAATTTAACAATCAAGATTAATTGGTGCTACTTTGAATTGAAACGACAACACACACTACTAAAACATGGCTCCGGTGGGTCAGCTATAAATTTATGGTGCTAAAATTCAGGGTTTGTACTAAGAAAAACAAAATATTTGAGAAATTGCTAAAAAATTAAATTACGTGGAGTCATACAATATTTTGCTAACAAATTTTTTAAATGATAAATACAAATAAAGCGTGGCTTGCAAGTATTTAAAATTTTCATAACCTTTCTCAAATATTTTTAACTCTGTACATTTTGGAATGGGGGCTACGTGGTGTTTCAGTCTACCCAGGTGGGGGTTACTTAACCTGCAATGGACTGGCATCCCGCCCTAAGGGAATGTGTTAACATTCTCATCTGCCTGTACTAATGAAGGCGGACCGATCATACATGCCATCTTGGTATGGGAAGAATTCGACTCTAGATATTTTGGGGTGCCTTTTTTTGTTTTGTTTTACGGTAACAATACAACTTTAATAGACCAATATTAAAAGTAATTCAAGATTTGTAAGAAATACTTTGTTCCAGTTTAGTTTTATTGTACAATGTACGAAAGGTATTAGTTAACATGCATTGTGCATGTACCCCGATAAAAAATGTACTCCAACAGTAGTTTATTTACAGATACTTTAAGTGAAATTATTTTAACACTGCAGTAATAGTTATTGGAACTAGTACAGGACATAGACTTATATATATATTTTACAGGAACTTCATGAAGTTGCCAAACAGTTGAAGATAGAATACCCTACTATCCTCATTGAAGGAAGTGGTGGAGTGAATGAAGACAATATAGCGGATTATGCTGGACCACACATTGATATCATTTCAACTAGTTCAACTGTTCAGGGCTACAGAACTTTAGATTTTTCTATGAATGTGTGCTGTTAAACTAGATAATGTCTAAAAAATTTCAGGTGTTTTGAACGATGTAATGTTTTGAGTTATGAAATTATGAGTAAATATGTAACCATTACAACTTATCTAGTGTGTGTAAATTTACAACAAAAAAATAAAATTTATGATTTCCATTATTATAAATTTTTAAATACATACATACATACCACTGAACAAACTCGTTACTAGCAAAATAATAATTTTCTAGTTGTTAGACATTTTCAAAGCCATAAGTGACTAACTGTAAAGATATTCCATTTTTGCAAATTTTAACATTAATCACAGGAAAGAAAAATTCAAGTTACGAGTTTCTTAACATGAACTACCATTATAAGATTAAATGATAATTTTCAAAATTATATATCTTGTTTCTTAAAAATTCATGTACTAACTTTCATGGAATACACTGTTATCCAGTAACATGTCATGCTTTTTGTAAATTGTTTTGATTGCATGTTTTAAAAGATACGCAGTTCATGATAAACATTTGAGTATTATAAGTTCATTTGATAGGTATCTTCTTGAAATATTAAGCTACAACGAACATAACAGTAATAACAAGTTGGTCGAGAATATTAACTACCTGGAGATGGAAAGTGTTTGACACTGTAAGTGACAGCAATAAAATACCGAGAAATAATTTAGAAAAATTTAGTCTGTCATTAAGTAGTACTTGTCTTAGCATCCACAAATTATGCAGACCAGACAGACACATCCTGTTTAGAGTTCAAGTTGAGATATGACTTCAGGAGCCCATTTACTTCCACGTATACAAGTCCCTTAACGAAATGAGACCAGATACAGTTGAAATGGCTCTGAGGTCTGCTAATGGAGGGTGTGCAAATAGTTTTGTATATGCGATACTTACCAACCTTTTTCTCAACACATAACTATCGTGGTCTTTAAATACTCATAGCTTACAAGGAACCATTTAAAAATTAAACTTCATAATTGTAGTGCTGCTACTACTGGAAGAAAGAAAAAATTAACTTAAAGGTAAGATCATATTGTTCGACATTATGTTGTAGAACAATACTCTCTTACCATATCACCAAGTCTTTTGCAAAAATACTGTGGCATAGAATGTAGATTAATGTTCTCGAATGATAGTAATGGTGTTGAAATTGAGCACTTTGAGTTCAGACATTTATCATCTTTAAACATATGAGACACAATTTACTTATGCACAATGTGTAGTCAGAGGTTTGAAAACTGTTTTTTTTTTTGTGTGCTGCTTGAATGAGTTAGATCATTTTAATTGTACTTTTTTTATTAATTTTCTGGCAATAAAAAACCACGAACCCCTTCACTGATCACAATCGATATGTCTAAGTAAAGTCACAGTGGAATATATTCATTCTGTATGCAAGAATAATATGTCCAGGATTATAAGAATAATAGTTTTTTTTGTGTTTCTTGAATAAGCTACTTATAGTAGCTTTCTATAATTTTCAGGTTGGAGGCCTATGAAAGAAATAAAAATTTCCAGCAAAAACCAGTTTACATGCTCTATCATATATTTGCTCAACAATAAATCTCAAGAGCTCCTCAAAAATATTTTACTTAATCACAGAATTCAAAATATTTCAATTCAGTTTCATTTTACTTCAGGTTCTGCTGAACCAATCCTCACCAAAGAGATAAATTGGTCAGAGACCCATAAATATGTTATCAGCTCGACTAGAATTAGGCCAGACAAAACACAATCTTTTTTACAACAGAAATTAATTACACACAAAATACAAGGTAGAAATAGATGTTATCCGCACATACAGCTGACTGAAAATATTATTATATGGAAAATGATGACACGTTGGTACCTAAGATTGAATCCTTATAATTTTTTAGTTTAAAGTGACTTTTGCAGATGACATCACGAGTACCCAGTTTCCACAGGCATTTGTTGTCTGGACACACACACAATTTATGGCTATTTTCCACTTCATTCAAAGTCCAGTATCCTTTGGATTGGGGTTCACTGGTTTTGTTCCTTAGTACAAAGTAATAATGGGGTATGTTTCTTCAGAAAATTCTAAATATCTTATTTAAAAAAAATCTAAACACCTGCTTGAGTAAACAAGATGTGTAGAAATATGCTGTAAATCCCTGCTGTGCCACCCTAATGGCTAGTGAGCTAACCAAAAAGCCATCAATTATTTTGAATTTAAAACACAGAAGAAATAACCTACTGTTTGTTGAACTGTGGAAATTACGAGTTGTTACATTTTAAATAATTGTGCTTCTCAAACAATGAAAACTAGGTACATGTATAAAGTATTCTCAGGCAATGAACTTCAAGGTTGTGTTGTAAATAAACTGATATCTACACACAATAACAAAATGTAGAAAGTGTCACTCCTACAACTTATACTTCACTATAATGCTAACAATGCTCTACTGTTAGCAGTATTGAGGTACAAATATTTAAGCTGAGATTATTACTATTTTTATTTCATCTGAAATTTTGATACATCAGGAATTTATTTCCCCAAATGGGGGTCTTTGTTTTTATTTGTTATATCTACCACATTATTTTAAGGCAAGAAATAAAAAAGAGCCAATTGAAATTTGATGTTCCATTAATTTCTGTTGTCACATGATCAGTATCTTCCTTGCTGCTGACTTCAGTATTTATAACCTACTCCTGGGTCTTGATTGTATTTTGGGTCATTACCCTGTATTAAATAACTTAACGCTGCTGACCGTATTTCTTAGTGTTTGTTTATATCCAGATAGGGATGTTTCTTTCTTTGAAGTGGTCACAGGTGCTCTCTTATAATACTACCTGAAAACAAAATTACATATTTCAATACATTAAAAAACAAAAAAATATAACATTTAACCACTGCTACAAATACTGAAAATAATTTACATATCTGAAGCAAAAATGTAGCAGGTCATGTGTATTAGACATGTTATAAGATGTCCTTCTATAAATAACAGGTGTTTTCTAATTATAGTACCTGCAAACAACACAATATTTTAAATACAATTTGAAATGTTTCATACAAACAACAACCTACATTTAACCATTCTTATAAGTATTGGAAATAAACATTAGAAACAACAATAATGCAGAGGTCACTGGTATTAGAAACGTTCATATCATGATGTTCCTCTACAAATTAAATTCCCGTGCTTACTGGTTTATATGTATATATAGTTTCTACTTATATAATGAACATAAGTCAAGCCTACACCACTGATCAGTACAACAGCTAATGTATGCACAGAGGATGATTATAGAGCAGGCTTTATTTTCTATTTATTAGAACATATATATAGTTTCACACCAATAGTTTGAGCAAAACTTTTTCTACAGTAAAATCGGTAAAGTAGATTATATTTTTATAACCCACTAACACAGTGGTTCCCAACCTTTTCTCCACCAAGGACCCCTTTTATTATCATTTTCTCCCCACAGAACCCATGTTTTTGCAAGATTCCGTCTACCCAACAAACTGTTTTTATTAACTCGTTCTCCCACTTTTCACTATCAAATAAAAGACATATATAACCAAGAGTGCAATTAAAAAGAACATCAGTATTAAAAAACTTGTTTAATGAGATGGTATTACCTACGCGGACCCCAGGTTGGGAACCACTGCACTAACACAACAAATGTGGAAAGAGGTAACAAGATCATAATAACATTTACTAACTGAAATGGTTTTGAAATAACAGCAACAGTATTAGTAAGACTTCTTAATCCATGACAAAAATAACATAGCGACATAATAATAGTATACAATATACAAATGACTAAACTACAGTAATGATACTAGTTTCCGTTGTGCATCTGAGAATTTGTATTTTTTAGCTTTATTTAATTTATCAATACTGACAAAAATTATTACAACTGGAAAATATTATGTTAAAATCTAGACTTAATACTGTATATATTTTTATTCATGTATGTTCATTTATAGATACAAAAAATAAACTTGTATAATCAGATTACAGGTGATAAAACAATTGGCTAGTTGAATTTTTGTTGGAACTGCAGGCTATTTTCTTAAAAAAAAAAGCTTGCACTTTTTTGTTTACGTGGAAGGTGTGGGTTAGAAATACTATTCAATCTAAACTGTATTTTAATTGAATAGTTACACTAAAAATCATCAGTGAACAAATTAACCCTCCATTAGTCGTATATGGGGTGTTTTCGAACTCCAAGTACGTTTGTTAACATCGTCATCAAGAGATGGTAGCACTGAGACAGTTGTTGTTCACAGTACATTCCCCAAATCGCTGACACAGTGTGCACTTAGTTCCTCCCATTTCTACCTCAGCCACATTGAGAGTAACACGCATTTTATTCTTGCTGGGGTGAGCAAACACCCCACGGTACTAAATCAAGGTGCATTTCTGAGAAAGCCTATATATTTACTTTTTGTTTTTCTGGACTCAATTAGTTTCTAGAGCTAATTTATACTGAATATGAAAGAACTTTTGCCTTAGTAATGTTTTTTTATGAAAGTTCAAATTATTTATATATATATATATTTTTTTTTTCACATTGAGGATGGTGACCAACACTGAAAGTGGGATGATTAATTAGGCATTTTTGTTGATGTTACTAAACTAATGATGTTTTTTTTGTTCAAAATAACTCCTAAGAAAATTTTTAGTTACAAAACATATTTACTTTACTTTTGGGATGATGTTTTTTGTTTGTCAAATACAATATGAACAATTTTTGTTTTAATAATTTCATTATTCCTCTATTAACACTACCCATAGTTTAAAAATGCTATGGAATCAGTCACAAGATATTTAACTTACAAATATACATAGACATATTTTAGTTATGATAATAAATTGTACTTATTATCTTTTTTTCCTGGGTGGGGTGTGACCCAATCCTGTGGTACTAACGTTTGGTTAAGTAAGAATACTATAAAGTCTGTTTTGTAGATATATCAATTTTTTCAAATTATCTGATTAGATCCAGTAAAATATGGATTTTACTTTCGAATTAACTAGGTATTTTAAGATGCCTCTTTTCTACCATAAAGTATATTTCTTGCACACTTGGCTTATTAAGATAGAAAGTGTACAAAAACAATAAAACTGGGACTCCGTTTAAATGCAAGACGAGATGGATTATCAATAAAAACAAGAGAACCAACTTAGCTGTATACTAAATTATGAAAATGTTAACAGAAACAACTCATTTGATCCAATATAACAAACTTAATCTTTTAAACCAACAGTCGTGGATAAGTAACAAGTTTAACTTGCCTGAAAACAAACATCAGTTAAATTTATACTAAAACATAAAAGTAATGTCCACTTAATTTCTACAGGTAACAAAATTAGCTTATGAAATTCACCCCCACCCCCCAATTTTTTTTTAATCTCTCTGTTGTGGTGACTGTAAATTGTCACACAAACTAATTAAGCTAATTTTATAAAATGTATTTGCCTACCTTGTGGATGCCCTATAAAAGGTGCACTGACCATTGGAGTTGGAGTAGGACCCATAGTGGCACTGGTTGGAATTACAGTTATTGGCATGTGTGGTATTACATGTGTAGGTGTTCCAGCATGACTTCCTGGATTGTGCCCATGAATTGGGTGTCCATGGAGCGTGTGAGGTACAGGAGGAGCTACAGAATGGTGTGGAGTAGGAGGCATAAAGATCATAGACTGTGGGTGGGGAGTACCTGAGAAACTAGAATGGTGGGGATGTGGGTGGCTCTGGTTTATATGGGGTGCTTGAGATGTGTTGTGATTATGATGCCCATGTTGTATGGAAGGCTGGGGCAACATCTGGCTGTAGACCACAGGCTGTGGTGTGTGTGTTGGGCCTGGATGACCTGTTGGAGTTGGAGTCTGGGCTGGTGTTATATGGTGTCCACCTGGTGGTTGCTGGTGTACTGGAGATGGTGCATGAAGAGGAGTACCAGGAGTCTGTGACTGTGGAGTTGATGGGGCTGAATGGGGTCCAGAAGATGCTTGGGGTATCATATTTTGCAATGCACTCATAGGAACTCCATGAGGACTGTGACCCATAGCTGCTCCCATATGTGGAGACACTGAAATAATAACTCTTGTACATTAATTTCTGACAGATATGCTAATAAAATATACACTTCAACGATATAATCAGTATTAGATTATATATAAGATTTTAGTTAAATGACACAAAAATATGATTGCAATTTTAACATGTTCAATAGAACAATGAAGAAGAAACCGAGTTATTCAATGAATAATATTTCATACATTTGTTAAAGTGCTTACAAAATAAAACAGTAAAGTCTACACTTAATACAAAAAAAAAAGAAGAGATGATTGTTGTCATTTGGAAACATTCAGATGATAAACAAGAAGGAATCCTCAATAACTATAGCACTTGAAATTCTTTTAGGCAGGATTAGAGTAAATTAATTTATGAGACCTTTTTTCCTTTTTATTAGCTATATTTGTGTGCACCAGCAATACCAAGCATGGGACATGCATATACCCAATTCAATTATATTACTCATCAGGATCTCTACCAGCAAAGCCCTTAAATTGAAATTCTTTTAGGTAGAATTAGAATGAATTAATCTGTGAGACCTTGGTCATGGTAAAATACATCAATCAAAAGGGTTTGACTTCCCGAGTCCAAAACTGTAATTAGATCTCAAATCGGTCAAGAGACGACGAAGCTTTGAGCTAGAAGTCTGTACTTGAAAAAATCAAAACAAAACACTCAGAGCCATTCTATGAGCTGCTATGCCATGGCTAAAAATTTTTTATTAGTTGATATGGGAACTTCAAAATATGTTCTGTAGACTGCAGATACTGGGGTGTGAACTAATGATAAGCATGTGTAGTTGTGGTTGCTATAATGCAGCAAGCATGTCACCCTCATCATCATCACCTGAGTGAATTTTTGTTTCACCAATTTCATTATTTTCTATCTATTGGTAACTGTTTTTGAATAGGGGTAAGTAGGACTCTTCAGTTAAGGTCAGTTATAAGAAGCAGGTGAAAGTATTTTTCCAAAAAAATCACATTTTTCCATATTCTCAATCAAGGCTCCTTTAACTCTTTCAGTATGGGCTCAGTCTAAGGGACCGACCTAGTAACCATTTTATGCTTGTTATAGTTTTCATGCTATAACTTTTAAATTAGTAAATGTATCTTCATGAAATTTTACATATTATCAGTAAACATTACAAGGCTTTTGTACGGAAAATATAATTTTTTTAATTAAGTTTTTAAGATTTCTTAAGTAATGTTTTTCTCATGCTTTTTTTTCTTTTCGAATGTTGCCTATTCAACCTGCAAAGTAAATTTGATTTTAAGATTAAAAATACTTTCATGCATCAGAAAATTTTCAAATTTCACATGCGAAATCTTTATAGCCTCCAGATATTTATCAAATGTGTTTTTTAGAAAAAAACTTTATATTTTATTTGTTGTTTTCCATACTGTATCTCTGTATGGGTTTGGTCGATTTGACCAACCTCAACCACCATAAAAAATTAGGAAATAAGTATAAATTATGCTTTTTTCATTCTAGAATGACTACAAATTATAATATGAAAACACAAATGTTTAGTCTAAATAGCTTAAATCTCATATTATACATCTATATATATTTATTATTTTTATTATATTGCCCTGTCAGATATGCACGGCTAACATTATAGAAGCTGCAATGATGTGGCACACGTGCACTCATGTTACCGTATCAAATAACATAAAACTGGCCTTTACAAAGTGACCTATCTTGGCTGTGTTTTAGTGGACTAGTATTTTGTAAAATATAGTCATATTTCAGATATAATACATTATATATATGTATATACATTATTACTGTTTACAAATAAGTTCTTAAACTTATTTTTCTGAAAACATTGAACAGTAAATACAGAAGTATAGCAAACAATTATATCTTCTAGTTACAAACTTTGTACTTGCATAGTGCTTGCCAAAGGTTGCTAAGCCTTATCAAATTTCACACATGGAGGATGTGAAATGAAGTAATTTTTTTAGGGTTTATATATACATTTTGAAATAACCAAAAAATCATAAATTACTCAACACTGTGACTCCATATATTCATGGACAAACTTTGACCTTTTAACCCTAAAGTGACCAGCAGAGTTTCCATACTATAACTTTTAATATTATTTTGTATATCTTCATGAAATTTGGTAAGCTTTCAGTAAACATTATAAGTTTTTTGCACACAAAAAATCAGATTTTTTAATTAAGTATTTTTACTCGGTTGCATCAAACGAGCCTGTAGCGAGAGGGTTAAAGTCTTCCCTCATTTTTCAGTCTGACTGGTTGACAAATAAAAACTTCACCAACAAAACTTGAGTCAATATACAGTTTCTTTTTCCAAAATTTTGTATTTACCCTTTTCTTTTTCTTCTCAACTTTTGTCCTTTTTTTCTTTTACGATGATGCAAAATTCTTCCAGACTTTTCAGTATCTCAGAATTATTCCCATACCCTTTGGATACTTATTTGGGAAAATATTTATCTTCTGATAAAAGAACACCCAAAATGCAACCTTGAGAGTAGTAAAAACAGCCAAAATGCTGACACAATATATAGAAATATATAGTATCTCTTTAGATATGGTTAGTTGTTTAGCCCTACATATACAGGTGGGTCAAAATGTGCATATCGCAAACGTTTTTTACATAGCTACATTCAAAATTTAATTAAACTACTTTGTTGTTAATGCTAATAATCTTAATAAGAAAACATAGATTATAATTCACTTTTTATATTACCTAGGTTACATTTAAAAGGAGATATTTAAATAAATTCCCAATCTGTATCTCTCCGACTCTCATGATGTGGTGATGCTGTGACTTTGCATTTCATAGCTTTTCTATTCCCTTATAAGGCCTTTAGATTGTTCAACCAATTAGAAACAAATGCTACAGATACCGACAAGCCAGAATATAAAATTTCAACCTCTTATCTTCTTGCTTTAGTAAGATACAACTGCGTTTGTTCAATCCCCACTGACTCACCCCTTCCAAATCCTCTGTCTTTTAAAAATTATCTATAATTCTCAGTGACACTGCTATTGGACATTTTTATAACCAATAGAAAGAGCAAATTTTACATTACATAAATTATACAATAGTTTGTTTTGTTTTATTGGCAAAAGTGGACAGGTCACCGTGACAGCTTAATGTGTTTATACTAAAGATTTTGCTTTGGGTAGTAACAGAATTATTTTAAACCTATTTATAGCCAGATAAATCAATTTAGTTTTGAGATATTCTATTCTAGTCTAATAAAGTCTGTGTATTCTAAAATGCATATTTGAAAGCTGAATGAATTATTTTTGGACAATCAATATAGTAAGAAAAAATAGGCTTTCTAAACTACGCATCCCAAGTGCAAAACGTCTACAGGCTAAAGTGTCAGATTTAGTGGTTTTGATGTATATTTTTTGTTATACATTTTAACACGAGTAACTGAAATGTAAAAATTAGAAACTTATTAGGTTATATAAGACAACCTAAATGAAAAAACATCAAATGAATTAAATTTCTTCTTGAGGACCACCAGCAGGCTACCGTTGCATGATGTAACTCAACAGCTTGTTTATCTCAAGTACTTGCAAGATGATTATTGCTTTGTTACGTTAGTTAGACACAGATAAAAAAAAACAATAAAATTAAATGAAAGAAGATGTGAAACCATTAGGAGTCTGAGTCTGTTTAAGATAAATAATTGTAAATATTAAAATATGCAGTCAATCTAGGGGGGAAAAAAATTTTGATATTATTTCCTATTTTTCATCTTTTACAAAGATGCTATTTAATTTTAGAATATTCAAACCTTACAACCTATGACTTTATGTGGATGTCTATGTTGTTTATTTTTTGTATACTCTTTATTCCTATGAACAAACTGTCAGAATAGTGTACTAGTTCTGTCAGAATACTTTGATTAAGGTAATGATTTCCATACTGAAAATGTGACCTTCGGTCTTCTGATCCCATTCAACATTTTCAGTTCTTTTGTATGACCTAATTCATCAACTGAGCATAAAAATTTAACAAAGAACTTACCTCAGTTTCCAAATTTAACTATTTGAAACCACTTCTAATGACATCAGTGGTGAGCGGTGTAATTAAATTTACGTTATAGCAAGTTGTTAAGTTTTAGCCTTTTTTAAAACTGGTAGAATAGACCAAGTTACCAAGTGACCCCCTAGCATGTAGAAAAATTTAAATTACGATTTCAAATGCATGAACCAAGGTGAAACTTGTATAGCAACTATTTTTGTTCATGGTCTCTGTAATTACTGTTATATACACATACATTTTACTCAAAAACATTAACTTTATATACTGTACCTCTCCATTTTTAGAAGGTACATTTGTACCAATAAACATAAGTATTGCATCTATGAAATGAAGAAACCTGTTTTTAATCAAACCAAAAAATTGCTTTAAAATCATTCAACACACACACACACACAAAAATCACTGTGAAACATTAATAAAAGCAGTGTTATGTTCAAAAAGTTAAGAGGGCTTAAGTCTGGACCGAAATACTCCAAAGACAAAGACTTAAGTGTATTAACTTAATACACTGAATCACTAAACAGCTTCTCAGGCTATTGTATCAACTTTTGCGGAGAGTTCAAAATAGAGACGTGATATTTGCACATATAGCTTTTTCAGTGATCATTTATCAGTTTTAAACATTTAAAAACTGGATTAAGAAATGCTAATTTACCAGTGAGCCTTTATTTCATTGTATTAAACAGACAAAAATTGGGCCAGTTATGTTACGAAAAAACAAAAAACATTTCTGTTGAACCAGTTACTAATTGCATCAGCTTTACTCTGCTACCATACAAAAGTATTACTTACTGTATATGTGCCCACCCATCTGGGAATATTCACCATATGATACTGCATGGGAAGAGGGAACCATTCCCACAGCCTGAGAAGGCACCATACGAGGGCCAAAAACAGAATAGATCTATAATAGAAGAAGAAACAACTCTTCAGTTCACTTTTCTTTTTTAAGCACAAATCAGTTAATATACATCATCAATTATAAAACAAAAGTTCTTGATTTTCCAATAATTTTAAATTTCATTTCACTATGTATAATCCGCGAAAAATGTGGCCAAAGAAGTTCATGTTTTTTTACATTTATAAGGTTCATTCACAGTTAATTACAATGGAGTGAAGTCTTGAAAACTGCAATATTTTTGCGTGAGACGACTAAAGTGTTTAATTCAATTTTTTAAAGATAGCTAAATGCATTAAGAGAAACTACACTAATATGGTAAAATATATTCATGATTACAATGCAGCTATGAACAAACTGATATATGTCTAATTTTTAGAATTTATAGCCCAAAATAGTTTAATTTTGTTTTTCATAACAAATTGCTACATCTAGTTTCAACATTTTTTTTTCTAAAAAAATTGATAACCGTAAATTCTATTTGTATTTAGTTTTTTGCTATTAATTTTTGGCTTTTTGTAATTTAATTAACCTGTCAATGGAAAATTGTTAACTAAGATTTATTATCCTTAGTAATTCTGTGCAGCAAGTTGTAGTTGTTTAAACAAAGTTTTCTTATTTTCCTGCCTTAACTATGATGTATGAGAACTATTAACAGTTTACATGCACTTTCAACAAATAATGTTAAGTCCTTATTGCTTCAAAGATAACTACTACAGTTTTAGAATATCTTGGCTGATTTTAAGATTCCTTCACCCCCCTCATAAATTAACAGAACACTGAGAAAACAAACAAAACAAAATGAGTAAAGTATGAGTATTAAAACATTTTAATTATAAAAATAAAAATTTCAATAGATTATTATGAAGAAACAACATTCTAAATCACTGAAAAACACACATGCACAAGTTGTTTTTCATTGTTCAGATATTTCAAGACACAAGTTTGTTCAACTATTTAATACAGTAAAATCTGTTGATACATGTAATAAAAATTATAATTATAACACACATGCTCATTAAAACAAACTATCCAACAGATGGGCATAGCAGGTTGTTTTTTTGTTTGTAATTAAGCACAAAGCTACACAATGGGCTATCTGTGCTCTGCCCACCACGGGTATCGAAACCCGGTTTCTAGCGTTGTAAGTCCAAAGACATACCGCTGTGCCACTGGGGGGGCCAGCAGGTTGTCCAGTCCAGTCCAGTTAGAAAAGTAACACGCTGCTTTTCATGCATGTCATCAATTTACGTACAATATTTGCATTGTGCTGTGTTGAACACAAATGTAGGAATCCCTGTACTGTACTAATGAATATTTTTTTATCTAACGTACAAATTATTTTGAAAAAATATACTTGTAGAAAATTTGTCAAAAAGGAATTGTTGAACAGCTTAGTTCCTTCTTTTGCATCCTACTGGAACATTCAAGCTGTTTTTTAGTATCTAACATACATTTTGATGCATAATTTACACAAAATCTCAAGTTAAATCTCTGAAATCAGGCTCAGTCGTTTTGACTGACATAATAACTACCATGTACAACTGAAATTATACAGAGTACACCTCTGAATTTACTAAGTATATCTTCACACAATTTAGGAGCTTTCGGTAAATACTACAAGTCTTTGTTGTATACAAATAATAGATGTTTTAATAAAAATTTTTACTAAAGATTTGCCTGTAAATATACAACATGGTTACTGAGTAAGTTTGAGTGAAAGGTGATTTTCATGCTAAAAAGAATAATACTCTTCAGTATATGACTTCATTTGCATAAACTCCAGAACCTCCTATATGAATACCTAAATTTTGTTTATAGTGAAACTTTAAGATTTATTTGTATTTTTCAAATTTCTGTTTAACCTTACAGTACCGATTTTGCAACAGTTAGTGTTAGGGTACAGAAAATAACTGTAAAGCAATAAAATTAATAAACCCAGGTTTGAAAAGTATATTAGATTTGGCTGTAAGTAAAAACTAGTAGGAAACTGACTGTTACAATATGCACCTGACAGTCTCAGGATACAGTGAAAGCCAGCTATCACAGCTAGACAGCTTTGTTGAAACAAATTATCAAGTTACAAGCATGCCATGATCAAGCTAGGATAGTGATTTAACAACAGTTG